AAACAAATAGGAATTACTCAGAAAGCTGAGGCCTACTACGCTGAGGCTGTGGGAAATAAAGTGAACTGTCCTTCAGCTCTCTGTGGTTTCCAACATCTACACATATCCGTTTCACACCTGCAATACAAGAAATAAAGGATTTGGCATCAAGTTTTTTGTTTCATGACTCTCAAGTAAAATTTATCCGGCAGGAATCCAAGGGCTGAGTTTCCTCTTCTGGTGCTTGTTAGTTGGGATTGTTCACAAATCAAGGGGCATGATTTCACTCAGGCAGTAATGAAAAACAATATAATTTTTGTTGTGGTTGGCCCTTGTTTCTGGACAGCTTTGGATTGATGTCACAAACAACTCTGGCCAAGAAATTATACCTTAGTCGACTGGTACACTGTTTGATTGCCACAACTGATATTTTATAATCCTGACCAGGCTATTACTGAATAATATAATACACGAAGGTAATCCACATTGTGTAGTAGACTTATACATCAACACATACATAACTATTACAAGTAAAGATAATCTTGTGACATAATAATACTTTAACAAATGATTAAGTTTCAATAAATGCAAGATGAGGGGTGTGAACAAAAAAATGTGTAGTTTAGTTCCTGAGGAGGGAAAGTTGGACAAAAGTGCATTGTTGTTGTAGCATTAATGTGGATACAAGAATAAGAATTTTCCTCCTCATTATGAGCAAGCTGCTGGGCAGGGTCTCTGGTTTCTCCCCCCTGCCGTGCCCTGGCACCCCCACAGCATCCCCACAGAGACGGCTTCCTTGCAGTGATGAGCTTTTGACAGGCCCCAAAACAGCCCGCTTAATGCTGTGCCAGGCCAGACATGGAGCGGCTGGGACGCTGGCAGCTTCTTGGCCCACATCATGCATCACGGGCCTCAACCCATTTTACCCTTAGTTTCCCTCCTCTTCTCTCTTTCTCTCTGTTTCTCCACCCTTCCTTTTTTCGAGAGCCTCAGGATTGTTATGCAAAGCTTTCCAGGCAGAGATGTGGGAGTTCCACAGATGTATCCAGATCATATGTGAGCACATGCTCCCACCGCAGGGAGAGACGACAGTCCAGGCTGGCTGTGCAGGTGGCCTCAGCTGGGACATGAACAACACCTTGACTCCCACAAACTCACTATCTGGAATCAAACAGTAATTTAAGCTTTTTATCGCATTAAACTCTTGACAGCTGTTCATCCTCCACTTTCCCTCAGTGACACTGACTCTGGCATTATAATACATAACCATGTTATGGCATATTTGACATCTATTGCTAATTTGCACAATGACTAATAAAGTACAAAGTGTCTAGATGTCTAAGTCTAGATGATTTGTGTTACGAGAGTGAAACAAACTAAACTGTTTTTTAAGATTCATCATCAAAATTTGACATAAGACAAGAACTCAGGCTGCAGGGACACAGAACAGAGTTACTCTACTGCCCTCCAGTGTTGATCTGTTTGTACTGCCTGCAGACAGTTCCTGTAAACATGCAGTCCATCTGCTGCAAGACGTGACTGCACAAGGATAACTCATTACAGCTATACCATGCCTTTTCCATTTGTGGTCACTTTTATGGCTTTTGAACTGTAAACACTGTTCCAAGGAAAAGGAAACACATAACGCTTATGTTGTGACATTCTTACGTCGCTGAAACTCTAACAAATGGTTTACACAGCTTACATTTCAAACTAGTAGTCTGTTAGGAATATGAAACTAGGTATAAATTGTGTCAAATAATTAAATAGCAGCTTGTACAATTAATTAGTAGTGCAAACTGTATTAAAGTTTATTAGAAGCACATGTAATTTCTGCAGTAGAGAGAAATAACCTTTCATCTATTATTTCTTTGTGGTTACATATTTAAACCTGATATTATAAGTGGATGGAGGTGAAGACTTTTTCAAAGGATGTGAGAAATTGGCTGCTGTTAGAAAAAATTGAATGACATTTAACTGTAAACAACATAACATAGTGTGAACTAAGGCAGGGCAAGTGAGATTCTCACACTCAACAGTTTACCATGTGTAAAAACGAAAAACACACTTTGGACACATCTGCAAGCAGCCACATAGACTTCAAGATTTGACGTCATGAAATTTAAAGTTTTTCTAATGAATGTTGGTATGCGTGGGAAATGGAGGGATGTAAGGGGAAAGGACAACAGAAAACTATTAACCCCAGCATATTTCAGTTTATAGTCAGTGTGTGAGTTGGTTTATGATAAATCACACGAGGCTCAAATATATATGTGAAGCTTTTTTTTTTTTTTGTCCAGATGTGGAATGCATCAGTTTATTTATTGCAGACCTGGACTTGAACACAATTGTATTGTATAATTATATGGTAAAATACAGATTTTTTTTTCCGAATGCCTGAAACCCTTCACACATTATACTATGCAGTAACTGTCTAGAATTTCTGCTGAGTTGTCTGGAGGGAATAGTGTATGGAGATAAAAAAAAAAGTCTCTATTTGCAGGTACTCATTAACGGCAACTGGAGTTAGCAACTAAAAAAAAGAATCCAATCTCTTCTCTTCCTGGTACAGTTCAGGCCACAATGAATATGGTTTGATACTAATTTACCATCAGTGTCAATTAATGAACAAACATGCAATCACGGCTCTGAACAGTTATGTAAAAAGCTAAGTCCTGGTTAGTCAATTTAAAGAAAGGATCATCTTATAGGCATGAAATAACACAATAAATCATTCCCATGACCATGTTTTACGACCGGCACTCAGTTCAGGAGCCATCTGTCAGATTCAGCCACCAGTCAGAGAATATTTTCCTCCCTACATTACTGGTGAGACAGCTGCAAGACTCTCATGAACACTGCAGCCACATATCATGCTTCCTCAGGCAGTTAGCAGCGCTGACACGAGCTATGTGCCAGTTTCCTCTCTCTCTCTCTCTCACAAACACGGTGAGATATCTGGAGACCCCCACACAGTCCTGTCAGGAAACTATTTACTTTAGTTGTCTCTGTGTCAAGAGAACACACACATGAATCGAAGACACACACTGGCAAAGGGCTGTGTGCTTCTTTTTCACAGCTTGTGGCATTTCCATATTAAACATTTGTTCAACTTTCACACTAGAGATAAACAATAATGAGCTGCTGTTATTTCTTTTAACTCGCAATTTGACTTATTCTGTAAGACCTATTTTTAATATATTTTAAATGGGAATACAACTTTTTTGATATTATAAACATACAGTTACCATTTTGCCAAGATTTATATAGTTTTCTGTGAAATGCATTAACTCAGGTAATGTCCTTAAGTAGCTGTTCATTTCAACATTTCAGGGAGAAATATTGTTCTTGTACTATTGTTTCACTGGGGCTTCTATCTAAAATAAAGTTATTGATCTGAGTATTTCCTCTATCCACCATTGGTTCTTGAGCAGTAAGAGAGGAGAGAGCTGGTTCTGATCGGGGTGAGAAGATAAACTGAAACCTTATCTACACCAAGCTGCTGTGTGCTGCATTATTTCATATCTTTATTTACCCTGAAGAAAATATGACAGAAACATCAGAGAGTGGAAAAAGCATGAGCTCAGACTTTGTAACCTGGCAGATATAATCCAATCATTCTGCTGAGGGCCTTACTTTGAGTTTAACGCCACTCTATACATCATGCTGTATATCTAATTTAAGGCCGAGCTGACTGCTCTTTGAAGATGCAGTTTTGAAATCACATTCTAGTTTTCCCTTCCCAAACAGCAAATTACTCCTACTCCCGCAGGACGCGTGATTTCGGACTCTAAGTTTGGAGCAAATCACTTGCAGACTACTTCACAAGGAGCGTATTAACCCGAGACAAGGGATGTGGGATTCAAGTTGAAGGATAAACAACCTCATCATCGATGGACAGCGTAGGAAAGCTTTGACTGTAGTGAGTGTGTACTTGGTTCCACCTCAACAACGTCAACATACGCTCAGAGTTAGGTTTGACGCCAGATACCACAGAGAAAAGCAAAAATGTGCCCCATAATTGGTAACAGTCTGTGAATTTATGTAAGCAAGGTAGGCTGTAATTAATCCCAGCACAATGAGGATCCTCTGAGAGGCGTGTTCATGGAATTGTTATTGGACGTCACCACGCCACTCTGGATCCCATCAGATTCGGAGTCTAAATAGTCTGCAATCAGGTGGGGATCCCCCCCCCCCCCCCGTCATCAAACATCTCCAACCAAATCCTTCACAAAAATTACCAAAGGTTATCAAAGAGCATCTACCATCAGACTCTGCCTACACGAACCCACCCTCATTTCCACTGAAACTTGCCTTAGTGCCTCCTTGCTTCCTCATTAAAAAAGCCCAAATCCGGCAGATGAAATGAAGACGGGCTGCGGTTTCCTGTGTGAGTTGGAAGAGGGATGATGGGAAAGGCAGGTTGGAAGGATGCTGAATAGTAATTGGCAATTCTTATCTAACACATATTAGCAAAGTTGAGAAATGGTATTTGCCATGTTGCATTAGCCTGCTGCCGTCCCATCATTGCCTGCCATTCCCAGCAACAACACGCTCCAAATGCAGTCCAGATGTCTCAGCCATCAAGCTTCAATATTTCACAAGCGCCGCATTAATCTTATCAAGTGTGTCACAGATCCCAGCCTGATAACATCTGCAGGGTTTAAGAAAATCACTGCCTGCAGCTGACCACAGCTTCACTGGAACCTGAAACTGATATCTCCTGCAGGTTTATTTTGCACATGAATTAACTTAATAAAATGAAAGTCTGACACTAATTAGTTTGTATCTGTTTGTCAGTGAAATTTAAACATAGGCAACCATGATGTGGGAAGGAAAGAGGGCTTCAATGAAGCACACATTTATGTTGCATCTGTCACATAGTTTTGCTTCTTAATATCTTAAATAGATGAGTCTTAGATAAAGATGGGCAAGTGATTATGCTGTTGTTATATTGAGTAGACTGCTTTTGCTTTGTCAGTAAAACACCTTAAAGAATTCAGTTTGTAAAATGTGCTCTGTAAGTTTATTTATCATTTTTATTAGACTTTGTGACTCATAAAATCATGGCATCATAGCAGCATCAGCTCTTTCCTTCATTGTACCTGTCCTCAATGCGTCACAAAATAAGAGCACATTGGTGAAAGCCAACAGAATGCAGTTTGTTACAGTCAGAGGGACACACACAGCATCCTTAGGCTGCTACAGAAAGTCTACATGAGTCACAGCAACCACAAAAAGAGTACTTTTAGCTCATCAAGTGAAAACAGTGGCCCACAGTTTAAAGAGCAACATTTATTCTATTTATTATTTTTTATGTTCTTGCATACTTGCATTTTGTTTGACATCAACAGGCCACTGTATACCACTGAACAGCAATTCAAAAATATCTCAGAGATCAATTCTTATGTTTACTGAAAAAGTTGATGCGTTATCTGACAGCGTCTGTAACTGAGGAAAACCCCTGACTTTGAACAAACACGACCATTTGGAAAAGCCACTGTATTTATTTAATCCTGTGAGATAGCCTTTCATAATGACATCTGTCTGCAGGCTCGTGTCTATTTTCCACACAAAGTTGTAAAAAGTCATTATTGTGTCATAACAGTCTGCTCCAACAGCTGATGAGCCTTAATTGCATATGAGGGATTATAAACAAAAAGAGATCTCAACGTCCAAAACGCTCAGGTTCAAAAAGCCACTACATCATCAATTCCAGTTTACTGGTATGAAACATTCCTGAAACATGCTTAAAATGTAGCCTTAAAATCCATTTGAAATCAGGTGCTATTATGCAAAAGATTTAAAAACTGGCCAAATACAAACTGAATGACAATTAGGTTAGCTAGTTTCTCAACAGTTTGCCCTGAGCTGAGTCTGGGATACAAACTTTGCCTTCACACCGTTAAGACTCTTTAAACTCTTAAGAATTCTTGTCCTTGGAGTGAAAATCCTGTTTGATGGGTCCTGATTGCAGGGTCCAAAGCCTGTTTCCCTCAGGGCCAAGGTAACTCTGGTTTTCCCAGCTCTGGCCTTCCAGGATCAGTCCTCTTCTGAGGAGCGCTGGGCTGCTTCATCGTGAACCTCTCTGTAGGCAGCCATGGGGCCACCGTCAGGAGTGTAGCTCCCCATAGAGATCTTCAATCCCTCAGACAGTTTCTGGGCGGCCAGCTTGGCCTGTAACTCCTGAAATTAAACAGAATACAGAGAAAAGTTGACATGAATAGGCTGGTAACAGAAAAACAAGCACATTATCATAAGGCAGCACAGCCATAGCTATTAGACTCTTGGTAAAAGAAGTACTGATAATAAGCTCAACAGGCCTCTGTAAGCCGACAGCAGCTCACTGTTTGACATTTGGCTCTCAAGTCTTTACTTTGGATGGGAAGTGATACTTGAAGCTTAAAACAACTGAACACTGCCCTCTAGAGCTTAAGAAGGGATCTGATGTGGACCATTGTTTTCAAGTTTTGTCAAGACGAACTAAGAATATAAGAAAATAACAAACTTAGCAAATACTAAAATTATATAAATATATCTTAATCATTTTTGTTAACTGTAAAAAAGAGCAAAGCTGTGTTGAAATGCCTTAAGCACTGTGTAAGAACTCCTCAACTTCAAAGAGACCAGTGCAGGAGTTGTTGGGCAAAAAAAAATGCAGGTTTGTTTGGCACAAGAGTTGAAGAAGATCAACCTTATGTAGGAAAGAGGCTTTAGCAGCAAGACAAATAAAAAAACAGTTAGGGAACTTCGTAACATGATCTGGCTTTTCAACCGTTACCACTGTGGACTTTGTGGAAAATATAGAGGATGTTAAACCGCTGTAAGAGGCAGGGCAGAATCATTCCTTCACATGGTTTTAGATATAGGAAGTGTTTCCCGTCTAAATAAGCCTCAAAATCATGTCTCTGCTACTTCCACTGGATTCCTTGGACACTCCCATTTTACCTTCAACAGGACATCCACACAATGCAGCGTCTTGTATGATTAAAACATGGCTGTTTCAGTCTGCATGTCCTTCAAATGCTTGATATTCTCTATGGCTGATTGCAATGCATTCAAATTCAATAAGATAACACCCTGCAAGGAAAGCAGCCACAAATTTGCCAAAGCAGGTTAAAATGTTTGCCCCGGTCGGTCTGCTTACAGTTTTTGTGTGCTAAGGACTCAGCGACACTAACCTGCTGCTTCTTGGTTTGTTCCATCAGGAGTGTGGCCGACTCTTCCAGAGACAGGAGCTGTGCCGGACTATGGTGGAGAGGAGGTAGTTTGGCTGCAGTGATGTCATCCAGGTGTTTTTTGTCCCGCTGCCTCCTGTCCTGTGTAGAGAGCGGCGAGGAGCCTGCAGAGGATTGACTGGGTGAAGAGGATCCTGATGGAGATACGTCACTTCTGTGGAGCAGTCTAGAAATACAGATGTGAAGATTTAATGTGCAATCAAACTGAAAAGAACTATGAACAAAGGCAAATCACATAATGTGCTTACTTTAATCCACATTAATTGAGTTATTTTTAACATTACATTTACATAATTAAATCATTACATTATAAGAGAGTCCACTTACTGATTTGGTTTGAATTGTTGCTTCCTGGGAGCTGAAGTCTTCTCTTTGTTTTCCAGGAAAGTTACAGAGTGAGGCTTTTTTGGTATCTCCTTAAGTGAGTAATTTTCTCTTGCTGTGCTCTTTATCGGGTCTTTAGACTCACCATTGAAACCAGTACTAGTTTCAGATAGTCTGACCCTTTCTAAGGCCTCCACAAGGTCACCCTCTTTTGTCTCAGCAGAGTTCAGAGAGGCCCCAGCAACAGCCGTCTCCATGGTTTCCCCAGCAGCCACACTGGAGACAAACTGGTCCTGTTGCTCTTCCAAAGAGTCATTTTCATGCATGCTAACAGAGGCAGGAGAGCTCTCCAGGTCCTGTATGGCATCACCTGCAGCACACTCACTTTGCGTGTTTGGGTGAGCGCGCTGCTGCACGGTGAAAGCTTGCTTGTACTTGGACTGTAACTCTGTGCTGACAGCAGACACCAAGCTCCGTCTCCTCTCCTCTTCATCGTGGAGTTGAATGGCAAGGCATACTTTCTCTGCGAATTCTTTGATCTTTTTCCCTTTGTCAGGAAGAGTCTGTAATAACCTCCTGGTAACAACACAAGGCCTATTACTTTATGCAATAATCAAAACGGCCTTCAAAGATACAAATGTGATTTAGTATCTGCATATGTTGTATATCCTTCCTGTACTTTGGTTTACATTAATTTATGTATCTCATTCAACATTAAAAAGCACTATTACATGCGCATTATACTAACACTATCTGATGTTACACTTCTGTTTAGTTTTCAACTGCACTAAAATACGCTTTAAACGACTAAAATGTCTTAACTGTAAAGCATATGGATCAAATCTCCATCAGTTATAAGTCATTCACACGTTTTAATTATTTTACAACATGGGAATGTAGGCTTTGTTTTTACAAACATGGTAAAGATGGACCAAAAAGTATGAACAACAACTTGTTATTGAATCCCATCTATGATCAAATTCAGCATTTTCCCTCACTAGCAATAAAAATATCTACGAGCCACTACATCTTTCTGCAAGTCACATCTTAGACTCGTTTCAGAACATTGTAAAATCTGGGTGTAAACTGAGTCACTGATACCTGGTAGGAGAATATGGAGTTTAATATCCTATAACCTTGATATCTGAATACCCTTTACGAAACTTTCTTATGTAAAAAACAAAGAAACACTACTAACATGAGAAAAAAATAATATCTGACATCACCAACATGTTACATACATTGGCAGAATGTAGCTCTTAGTTTCACTCCTTGATCTTGCCACATATCATTTGTAGGGCAATAATAATATCAAGTGTGTTGCAGCTTTATGCTTTTTAATATGCCTGTTTCGTAACATATTACTGAAAAGATTGTATCTGTGCTCTTTTAACTTTAGACGGGTTGACCTGGGAAGACATCCTGAAGCTCTCATAAGCTTTTAACACATTTTGTCACCTCATTTCTTCTTAAATTCAAACTTACATATTGATTGTTTTGTGCGACAGGAAGTGCCTGAATGAGTCGTATCTGATCGTAACCACAGTCTGTACCTTTCCTGCCTTCATTACCCAGGAATAACACAAAATATGACTAATCCGTGTTGAACTCACTTGTTAGAGAGTATATTCTCCTGCCGCTGGAGCAGCTCTTGGAGCTCTTCTTTGCTCTGGTGTCTCAGGTCTCCCACCTGTCCCTGGCGCCCTGTCCACGACGAGGACATCACTGTTAGCTAGAGACAGCTAGCTACAGCCATTCAAGATTTAAATGTGAAACTTTAAACAAACTCAAGTTACAAGCTAAGCGGCTGAACCGACTCCGGCTCACTGACCTTTAAAGGTTAGAGAGCTTAAACTCCTCTAAAGGTGGTAAGTTCACGTTTTAATACATCTGTCAACAACATTTCAAAGTGGGAGCTCCTCTTCTTCTTCTTCTTCTGTGGATATTATTGGCAGCTGGCATCCAAAAAGTTGCATTACTGCCATCTGCTGGATTTAATTATTACTCACATTCCTAAATCCTCCTCAACAAACCTGTTCTCAAGAGATATTTAAACAAGCTTTTCGGCCTCTCCCTCTCTCCCCACACTCCAGAATACTTTTGCAATCTCTTCTTATGAGTCACTCTCTTCTCTCTCCATTTCTGACATCATGTTATGTCTATGTGCTACATACTTTCTACATTTAATAACTACATGTTCAACTGTTTCTGCTGGATTGCATATCTCACAAAGACCGAATGAATGTTTGGACATTACTTGTGGTGTCCCCCAGGGGTCAGTGTTGGGCCCAATTCTTTTTATTTTCTAAATAAAATGATATATGTAAAACCTCAAATATTCTACAATTTGTGTTATTTGCAGATGACACACATATTTTTTTGTACGGGAGAGGATTTGCAGCAGCTTCTGGAGTTAATTACATCTGAAATGAGCAAATTAAAAAGGTGGTTTGACAATAATAAATTATCGTTGAATTTAAGCAAAACAAAAATCATGTTGTTTGGAAATTGTAATTTAAATAATGACGTAAATGTTAAGATAGATGGTGTTAATATTGAAAGAGTGTATGTAAATAAATTCCTAGGTGTGACAATAGACCACAAGCTCTGCTGGAAACCTCACATAAAACATGTTAAATCTAAACTGTCACGTAGCATCTCTTGGATCACAAATCATTGCTTATTCTCTACTGTTCAATGATCTTACCTTATTTAAATTACTGTGTGGAGGTGTGGGGGACCACTTACAAAAGCTCACTGCTACCACTAGTCACACTTCAAAAACGAGCCATAAGAACAATCAATAAAGCAGGATATTATGATCACACCAACCTCCTGTTTTTACATTCCCGTACTATAAAGTTCATTGACCTGGTTGACTATCAAGTGGCACAAATCATGTTCAAAGCAAGAAACAAACTGCTACCAGGTAATATTCAAAAACTTTTTTTTGACAGAGAGGGGGGTTATAATTTGAGGGAAATGTTAAATTTTGAGATGCTAGCTGTTCGCACAACTTTAAAAAGTCAATGCATTTCAATTGGTGGTGTGAAACTGTGGAATGGTATGAGCACGGAGCTAAAGCATTGTCCAAACATGATCCAGTTTTAAAAAATGTACAAAGCAATGATTTTCAAGGTACAGGAATGAGGGAGAGCTTTAAGAAGGAAAAAAAAATAATAATAATAATAAAATAAATATAATAATAATTGGGTTTACAAGTTTTGTATACACAGGTGTATGTTAATGTGTATTATATATATGTAAATTGTACATATAGTAGCCTATACCAAATTGTATATATGTCATTACGACCTACTCTATTCTGTTGCTCCCTCTGTATTTTACTTTATCTATTTCCCTCTGAATTGAGTATAAATGTCTAGAGGATTACTTGCTGCCCTCTGTAGGTCAAAAGTAGTCGTCAGCACCTAATTTAAAAGTGCACGAGCTTCCAGAAGTTTCCCACACACCTTTGTCAACCCATATCTCGCCCCTCTTTAACGAACAATGTCCCGACTTTCACCAGTTGTCCTTACAATCCCTCTGAGTTCAAAGTCAGTTTAATTTTTAACTGCGGCTGCTCAATTGGGGAATATTCAAAAAATAGAATTTTCTCTGATAGTTTATGTATTGTATTAAGACATAACAACATTGAATATTTCCTCTTATTAGCCTACCTATTTTTCAGTATTCTCCTTACCTCGTCATATATTTTAATCACAATCCTCAATCTTGATAGTAATTCTATAAGAATAATTCTACCCTTTTTGCCTTCTTCAGGGCTTTGGAAATTTTGGAAAGCTCTTTTCAATTTAACAATTTCACAAACTCTATATCATGCACAATACTATAAACTATGGATTAAATAAAACAGTTTAAAATAAAATAAAGGGGTTCTAAAAAGCAAACAGTCTGTTGAGACAATGAGGACAACTGGTTATTTATGTAGTAAAGTCTTTATTGTCCAATCACGCTGGCCTCTTGAATGATATGTATTGTCAAGAAAAAGGCACATCTCAAAGCTTTTCAAACACAGTTCTGGCAGTGCAGACAACAGCTGGATAATACTCAAGTGCCTGTGGCTCAGGAATGGCAGTCACCTCAATAAGGTCAATGTCTTTAAAGTGAACATTTTGATCAATAGCAGAGTACTTCATAATATCTATTTCCATAAACCCCTGTTTACAAATTTCAAGAGATTCATTTCCACCACCAGTATCAGATAGTGGGCTGTTCATAAAGGCACAACGCATGTTAATAAATATTTTGTACATAATGTGACAATAAGAAAATAATATTCATTTAATTTGTACAGAGCCAGTATAAAATTATAAGAAAATACACACTATAACCTGAACCTTCATACAAGACCGAATAAGTAGTACATTCACTGTAAACAAAACAAATATAATCCTTCAGAACATTTTTCACACAATGTTTTTTTTTTTTTTTTTTTTTTTACAGAATATCAGATTATTTACAACCTAAAGCAATCATTATCAATAATAGTGTCACGTGCAAACATAGGCTGAAAACCAAAAGGCAAAGTATACATCATAGTCCAGAGTCATATTCTTCATTGTTTAAATGACATGTAAAGACAATTTTGACTGCTTTAAAAGTGTGAGTGTTAAAGGAATTATTCAATATTTTACGATTTTTCACTCTTTTTCCAAGAGTTTGAAGAGATGTAAAATATGGCTCTCGTGACTGTAAGGTAATGTAATCTCAGTTAGCTCAGAAGTAACAACAGTAGCTCCTGACTGTTTTTTAGCTGCAGCTTCATAAATATCAAACAGTCTTCACATGCTCTTATCTTCATGTTAAGCTTATTGTAGCTACCTCTATCTTCGCATAAATACTGCAAAAACAGGAAAAACTCATAGCCCCAGAAATAGACTGCAAGCATCTCTCAAGCTCTGTTCAGTTTAACTTTTCGTACAGCAAACTCCAGGAAGGACTGGGATGAAGTTCTCAGAGGTTCTCAGGCTTAACAGAATTAGGTTTCAAAGTAAACTTTCACATAAGGGAAACTTCATTTTTTAATGCTTTTTGCTGATGAGTACATTGGTATCGCTGTAATGTCTGTCTACTATGCATGAAGCTACCCTAGTTGCTTATGCTAGGATTAGCACAAAGACTGGAAACGGGGGTAACTGCTTTCTATAAACATCAGCAAGTCTATAACTCACTTATTTCATTGTTTATTTTATTAAATTTAAGTGTTAAAAACAACAATTTTGCCACTTTATAGGTTTTACAGGGCATTGTTGCTGCTGTTGACTCTGGGAAGTCACTTCTCCCTGCCAAGGGAGTCCCACATATGACAAACTGTGAAACATAATTTGCTGCTGAACTACACCTTGTGCCATTTACAGATTGAACAAATTACATATAACCTATAAATTACTGAGTTTTAGAGTTCAAGTAGGTACAATGTTTTCCTTGTAAAGTATTAGTTTAGCTTTTTCCTCACTGTTTACAGTTTTTGAGCTAAGCTAAGCTTCTGTTGTAGCTCCTTATTTCAATAAGAGATGAGAGGTCCTTAATACAGTATCTTGTGCAACTCCGAACAGGAACATGCATTTCCCAAAAGGTCTGAATATTACTTTGCAATTACTCTATGTTGATATTTGATGTTATTTCCATGAGTTTCATGAACGGCGTGTACACCTGAGGTGCCCTTGATCTCGGTCTAGCAGATGACAAGGATGAAATGGATTCCCTTGGACTTGGTGGAGTGTCTGTGTTTGTCTCTGCATCCACCTCATCTCGGGACTGGACTGGGCTAACAGGGGGCTCAGTCTCAGACTGGCTGGTATAGGGGAATGTCCCACTTGTCACTGAAGGGTTAGACTCCAGGTAGCGGCTGTACTCAACAGGAGTGTACCTCAGTAAACTTGACTGCAGTCTGCTGGGCGGAGGGTTATTAGACCTGAATGTCCTAGGGTTGATGGGTGAAGTCAGGTAAATGGATGGATGTTGAATGGGTGGTGAAGGGGATGAGGGTTGTATGGGGGATGAGGAAAAACTTGGGGATAAAGGTTGCGTGGGAGGTGTCATAGATGGAGGTTGATCTGGTGGTGAGGGTTTGGGTAGAGATGGTGAGGCTTTGGGTAGAGATGGAGTTTGAGCTGGTGGTGAGGCTTTGGGTAGAGATGGAGTTTGAGGTGGTGGTGAGGGTTGATAAGGAAATGAAGGATGAGTAGGTGATGAGGGTGGAGAAGGCGTTTCAGCAAGCGATGGAAGTTTCATTGGTGGTGGGTGTCTTATGGGATGAAGATGACTCGATTCACTCTGAACAGGAGGTTCAACATCAAACCTTTGACCTTCATGTCTGCAGATGCACATTGAGACATCAGGTTGATGAAACACCACCAACAGAAGCACCAAATATCACTATATGCTACTAAACATGTGTCCCCAACTGCACTTCTTACCTGGGGAGCAGGTCGCAGCCTAATCCTATCTCCCTGGTTTCCAAAACATCTCTGGGCCTATTCTGTGTGGACATAAAATACTTCAGCTTGTCTTCTAATTCATTATTCTAGGAAAAGAAAAAGATGAAACAACACTGTCAGGTCAGATACATGCAAAGTGATTTGATAGGTGCAATGACACAAGGAAACAACACAGACATTGTTGAAAGTTTAGGGTATTCGGCACTAAGCACCAGAGGATCATCATCCGTAGCCATGCAATAGAAAACCACACCACACCATAAAAAAACACGGTAAAGAACTTACCTCACACTCCACTATCGCGATTCTGTCCAGGAGCTCTGAGATGAACATATCCTTCTGAGCGACCTGAGACCGCAGTGTGCCAACCTTTACAGTAGACAACAATTCATTAAAGATGAAATTTTAAAATATTTATACAAATATCTTACTTATGCACAGTTTATTTAATCTAATTCAGCGATGTTACAG